ATGTCCGTTTAACAACACTGCGACGTGGCGGAAGTGACTCGCCACTGAACAAAGTCACTGGCTCTTCCCTTTCCGAAGGATCCTCACTTCACGAACGTCATCCAGTTTGAAGAGTACCATTGATCCTTTCATATGATGGCGAACACAGCAAACAAACTCACGCGTTCAGTCACACTTCACAAGTTCACTCATTATGCCCGCTAACACATATATAGTTGGCGGCATCCGGTTTCCGATTTGTCGGTCAATGTGACCAGCTACGGGACGCCTGCGACTACAGAGGGACCATGGGTGGCTTGCACTGCACCACCCACACACCACATATCCAGTGTAAACCCGAAGGAATAAGACCGGGAGGCATGTGGATGGGAGCCACGTTTCATCAACGGAGCCGGCCCACACTCCTTCACAGGCAAACACAAGCACGCTGTATTTGGGGAATCAAGTGCACACAAGGCGGTGGCTGGACAGTAGTCCGCTCCATACTGAGTGCATGGAACCGCTCTTTGAGCCTAGCACGGCCACAAGGACCGTGCACTTCGTCCCCTATAGCAAAGACCAACTGTCTCCTGGATTCAGTATGAACGAGGTAGTGGGTAATAGACAGGTAGGCACCTTGTCAACATGCACATCAAACGCAGTCACACCGGGGATATCAAGCAACACCCAATCCCTTGAGAGAAAGATAACAAAGAAAATAACTCGAGTAACGCATAAGGAAACGGTGACATAAATCTTAGATTAATGAGCATATGAAGTAAGTTGTCTACAAACGAATGCGAAGTAAGTTCCCGAGGTCAGAAAGTATGTTTTAAGGAAATGCCACAAAAACGAAAATGTTATCGAAATTAACTAACTGGATTAAGCGATGTGTGCACGTTTATAGAAGAGAGTATTGGTAGACATTTATATGAGAGAGAAAAGCATTAGGACAAAATTGAACCCACCACCTGAAATAAAGAGACTTAGCATACAAGCATGTGATTAGTAAATCGAATGCAGTGTACCTACAGACGCTGCGCTGGTTCTGCCTACGTTCTCTGCGGGACCCGTCGTCGCTCAGGCAGTGGTCCCGAGTGGCCTCACTCATCGCTCACTAGGCCTGCCTGACTCAGGTACTCGCGACCGCATGTGCAGCAGCAACGAGCGCTGGATATCGATGGAGTACAACCCATCGGATCTTGCCGCTTCCGCAGTTGCCGCTTCTTCTCTGCATGTATGAGGTCTTTCTCCCCCACTTCGGCAACTGCCGCAGAAATTTCTTTTCCATCCGTGTCTGTCACCCGTGGAATGCTCTCCCAGAATCGGTCGTCTCTGCACCGACACTAACAATATTTAAAAGACGGTTGGACGATGCACTCATCCACTTACACTTTGTTACTTAACACTATTTCTCCATCCTACACCTGGAGTTTACCCTGGAATTATTTGTTGTTACCTGTGAGTGTTGTGAATCTAAGTGGATCGCAGGACTGCAGCGAAGCAAACGATTAGTCTTTATTTTCGTATTTAAAGTGTTAACTATTTTACTATCCTTTTTATCATAATTATTGTGTTGATATCCCCACCAACTATCCAACGGGGCTTGTAAAGCAACGCTTCTTAACCCGTATAAATTCATTGTTCATTGCCTTCGTTGTCAGATCGAGCCATGGACACATACACTTACATATTTACAGGCATAATCCCAGTATGTTACTTGTTAGGTTGCTAAATTTTACTACAATTACCAACCATATCTGTTTGTATTATCATGATTATGCCTTCGCAGGCATGCCCTGCACTGCTGGGACTAAACCATTTAGTTATTTATTTGTCAACTGGCTAATGCGTAGATTTTGAGCGTCTTATTTCAGGTTGCTCAGCATCTGTTTGCGGTTCCTGATATTGTGAGGCAGATTCACCGTCCATTTTAGCGTCCATAACAGTCGGTTTTTGATACTGCTCATGCGGTTCGATTGATTGTGTTCGGATATGGTCAAATGACTGCGCACCATACGACCATCCTCTAGCTATAGATCTGCTTGGTTACTACTTGAGGACATAAGTGCAACAGGTTGTCAGCTTGCTTCGTGAGGCAGTCTTGTGTATACCGGATCAAAATCACTGATACACATTTCTTCTGGCCTGTTGGCATCCCCACACATCTCCTGCTTTGCCTCCAAGCTCTTTGGGGCGTTCGAAAAAGTAGATGCAGTCTCGTTCGTCGTGGCCGGCCAAACATTAACTCCGCGGGTGACTTCTTGTCGACTCAGTAGGGGTCGTGCGGTAAGAGAACAGGAGATGATCCAAATTAGTTTGTAGAGTTCCATGAATCTGCTTGAGGAGAGTTTGCCTAACAGTCTGGACTGCACGTCTTGCCATTCCATAGGACGCGGGATGGTATGGCACAGAGTTGATGGGCTCTATTCCGTTGTAAATCAGGAACTGTAGAAACTGCTGGTAAATGATGTTTCGTTGTCGGTGCATACCGTCTCTGGGATACCGAAAATGGTGAATATAGAGCGCATTTTTGCAACTGTTGCTTCGGAAGTAGCAAGTGGAACTGGATGTACTTCTAGCTATTTGGAATGTGCATTAAGCAAAGGTAGACAAATCATATCATCATTTTGGCCAAAGCAGTTCGCGTGTAAACGCTGCCAGGAACCCTCCGACCAACGCCATGGACTTATCTGTCCGGGAGGTTGTGTCTTTAGTATTTCTGACATTGTTCGCAATTATTCAGCTGACGCTCTATATCCTATCCTGGTCAATGTTCGACCAGTAACTATAACCACCTGCCAGTGCCTTCATCCTATTCACGTCAGGGTGTGCGTCATGCAGCACTCTCAGCAACTGGGGCTGTAGTTCGTCTGGTGGAACTATACGCTGTTCATTTTTGTGCCATGTTGCTACGATTAAGTGCATTGACAATGGTATTACTTGGTCCGTTTACATATTGAAATTTGTAGTTATAGGTGCTCAAAAGTGGTACCCACCTTTGAATTCGGGGCGAAGACATCTGTTGGATTTCTTACTTCTCGCCCAGAAGCGAAAGAAGTGATTTATGGTGGACACGCTTGACCGCAAATAATTGCTAAGGCCTCTCTGTCCAGTTGTGAGTAATTCCTTTCAGCGGGTTGCAGGGTGCGAGTAGCAAACGTGGTTGGATGAAGAGAACGGTTGCCCTCCGGTGGCGGAGGACTGCGCCTACTCCGCGTGGAGAAGCATCATACTTCAGTACAAGTATATATATATATATATATATTACTGTTAAAAAATACAACACGGATGAGTCCATGGCTTCGTCACAGGGCGAGATCCTACCCGGTTGCCGAAGCCCAAATAGGGTGTTGAATTAGGGGACACCATCCCGAGGCTTTGGCCGAATGGCCTGCCCGCAAGGCAGCGGAGCGAATTCAGAGAATCACGCCTATTAGGAGCAGGTGAGTGATTGTCCAGTTCATACGACTTTCGACTTTCGTTTGCCTAACAGGGGTCCAATGCTCCCCACAATTTCAGCATTAAGTTGCTGGAATACACTGGTTCGTCAGTGTGAAGCGAAGGGCAGTGACTTTATTTAGTGGCGAGTTCCATCCGCCACGTCGCAGTGTTGTTAAACGGACATACGTGGTTTTTTACAGGGAGATCGCTCGCCAGGCGAAGACCCACCACGTCCTGGAACAGTGCCGCCGAACGATTTGCTGGCACGGGATAGTCCCGAACCACCTAGCTGGCACCACGTGGAGGTTGTTCGGCAAGCCAGCACTAGAGGTCAGCTCGAATCGAAATGCACGAGATACGGGGAGGCGCTGAGCGCTCTTTTAGTATCCAGGAACCGGACCCAAAAGCCAGGCTCTGTCCTCGTGAAACCGCTAGAACAAGGGTGCAAATAGTGTTAAGGCGTTAGGTAAATGGCGACGACAGTGAGAAGACATCTCTAAAATAGTCGGTGTCCTAGCTTCATACTTGGGTTAGTGTGACAAGGATTGGATTGCCTTTGTCTTCTAACACGTGTAATCCGTGTTTATAGAAGCTGATACCCAGGTAACGAACAGAATACCCGAGCAAAAACGCACTCTGGGCTTTGCGTAGTTCAGTCCACTCATTTGTAGACGTTCGAGTACAGTGTGGATAGCCTTTGTAAATGTTCAGCCGTCCTTTGGTCCTGTAATATGAAGGTCGTCAAGATAGGCGCAAGTGTCAATGATCCTTTGGAATTATCGTCGAGGGCTGAACTGATCCCGTACGGCAGACGTTTGTACTTGGAATAAACCCATGCGTGTACTTACCGTAGTGATGAGCGATGAGGTCTCGTCTAAATCAATTCGTAAGTATGCGTGTCTAGAGGTCGATCTGTGTGGAACTTTTGTCCGCCTGCAAGCGTAGCATACAAATCTTCTATCCGAGGTAAGGGATGCTTATCCAGAAGTAAA